GTGAACCTCCATGTGCAGATTTCGTGGCAGGGCAATACAAAATGCGTTTTCGAGAGATAGCGGACGCACGGGGTGCTGTGCTTTTCAATAGAAAGGGTGGCTCCGAAGCTGGCAGGTCAAGCTTTGCAGAACGACATGTGCGAGACGGTCTCGGGTCATTCTCGGATCATGGTCGGATCATGGTCGAAATCGCCCCTCCATCGTGGTTAGAGTTTTCACTTGTTTCTTGAAGTGCAGATTTCGTGGCAGGCGCAGCACTTTGTGAACCTCCATGTGCAGATTTCGCGGCAGGCACAGCACTTTGTGAACCTCCATGCGCAGATTTTGTGGCAGGCGCAGCACTTTGTGAACCTCCATGTGCAGATTTCGTGGCAGGCGCAGCACTTTGGGAACCTCCATGCGCAGATTTTGTGGCAGGCACAGCACTTTGTGAACCTCCATGTGCAGATTTTGTGGCAGGCACAGCACTGTGTGAACCTCGAAGCGCAGATTTCGTGGCAGGCACAGCGCTTTGTGAACCTCCATGTGCAGATTTCCTGGCAGGCGCAGCACTTTGTGAAAACCTCCATGTGCAGATTTCGTGGCAGGTGCAGCACTTTGTGAACCTCCATGTGCAGATTTCGTGGCAGGTGCAGCACTTTGTGAACCTCCATGCGCAGATTTCGTGGCAGGCACAGCACTTTGTGAACCTCCATGTGCAGATTTCGTGGCAGGCGCAGCGCTTTGTGAACCTCGAGGTGCAGATTTCGTGGCAGGCGCAGCACTTTGTGAACCTCCATGTGCAGATTTTGTGGCAGGTGCAGCACTTTCTGAACATCCATGTGCAGATTTCGTGGCAGGCACAGCACTGTGTGAACCTCCATGCGCAGATTTCGTGGCAGGCACAGCACTTTGTTGTGAACCTCCATGTGCAGATTTCGTGGCAGGCGCAGCACTTTGTGACCTCCATGTGCAGATTTCGTGGCAGGCACAGAACTTTGTGAACCTCAAAGTGCAGATTTCGTGGCAGGCCCAGCACTTTGTGAACCTCCATGTGCAGATGTCGTGGCAGGCACAGCACTTTTGTGAACCTCCATGTGCAGATTTCGTGGCAGGCGCAGCACTTTGTGAACCTCCATACTGGCATTGATACAGTGACACCGCAATCATGAGTGCGCCCACGCCACAAACCGTGTTGTGACACGATGTGTTCTGCAGCTCGGTGCGGTGCGTGTTCCGGGGGTCCATCGACACGGTTTTCAGGCTGGCGTGTCCTTTTGGGCACCATGGGCAACGCCAGGCGCCGTGGGATGACGTGTGACATCATTCAGTCTTTGGTCAGCAGTTTTTCAGTTTTCAGAAATGCATGTGACACTACGTGTGACATCGCTTGGTCTTCTGTACACTGCATGTTTGTGCTTCGAACCCAAGAGAAACTCACTTGTCATGGCGCAGCATGCAGCATAGGCTGAAATGTTTGGTTCATAGTTATGACCTTGGAGGTTGAGATCGCAGAGGATAGCGCTGTGGACCTGGCTCAGAGGTACAAAGAAACCGTCAGGACCGCGACCTGCCCCCGCCACTCCTTGCCATGTGACGTGCATCGTTCGTTTGGTGTACCAGATAGGGACATCAAATAGACAGACAATTGAGGGCGGGTTTAACTTTACAGTAGAGGTTTCTTCTTGAAGGTCAGAGCAAATGAGAGCATGCGCTGTGTAAGACGTCAAGGTTGTAGAGCTCTCACGGCCCTGCGGCCCTAGGGTGCCTGTCTCGGTGTGATGCGTCGTTCTCCGGTTCGCAGACGAAGCGAAGCCGAGGAGATTGGGAGGCTTTGTCAAGAATTCAATGCAATGAGGCCTGAAGTGTTTGTATGATGTCGACGCCGGATCAATAATAATCACCCCCTACTGGAAGCACCATTCCGAAAAAAGGTGGATGTATTATATGCTGCAATATGTTAATTAGTGATAATTAGTGTTCTTTTTGTGCATCAAGCTGAGAGATCTTGAGAGCAAGTTGGATGGTCTCAATGTTCACTAAAGAGGTTTAACACTTGCTTTTGATTTGAGTGGTGTCTTTTGTAGTCATGACATGACTGAACATCCAGCAGCTTCATAAATCTGGTTGGAGCCACCTCAGATTGAACACCCATGAAGAACATTCAATGGGTTCGCCGCTCGAACCATTTCACAATACAAATAATAGTGCAGTGAGATGAACGATTGACGGTGGAGATACGGGGCCTTCTGTTTTGGCATTTGGGTCAAGGCCGGCAGGGCTCACCCCCATCAATTTGAGCTCACCCCATCATGGTCGGTCAGTCAGTCACAGTTGGTTGGACTAGCTAGCCTTTTAGTGGTCTGAAATACCAAGGGTTCATTGAATAGGATAGGATGAATATGGATGAATATGGATCGTTCTGACCGTGGATATAAGAGAACTATACCTTTTGGGTGTCCACCAAACAAAGCATGTCGTGATTTGTTTCGACTGACCAGGTAAGCGTCTCAGAAAGTTAGTGGGTCGGTAAGAATGAGTAGATCAGGAGCAAGAGTAAAATAGACAATAAAACACATAAAACCCTAAACCCAAAGCCCTTGTATCAAAAATTATCCAAATCTCCTTTAGCCAACCCTTCGTCGGATGCCCCAAAATATGATTTGGAAACGAGAGCTGTGCGAGACAAAACACTGACAATGGTATTCAACGGAGGCAATGCTGACAACAACGGTGGAACATGTTCAAAGATCGGCTGGTGCATTAGGGCATAGGGCATAGTCCCCAGGGGTGCAGCCTTTTCTAGCTCCTTTTGGTGCTGTGTCAACTTTTTTCAGATGGTTTCTACCCAAAAGGGTGATGCTTTTTTTTCACAAGCCTCACCAGCCTGATCCAAGTATCCTTCAAATCATTCCAAAAGTATCCAAAAGTATATATACCCTAGGGCTCTAGGGATCCAGTCGTACCTTCTCAGGTACGGTGATTGGAGACTATTTATGTAGGCGCCATTGTCGGGCCCAGTCGTACCTCCTGAAAAGGTGTTGTGGTCACTTGTGGTCCAACCAAAATATTATACCCATTGGACCCCTGTTTTTGATCAGAAAAAGACCATGTTTGCAGATGGTCAGTGGTCCCAGAGATCATTCAGGTTCTATATATGGACCGTCCTTTCCACCCTGGCAGGTCGCGCAGACCTGAGGGTGGACGGGTGGCGACGTGGTCCTTGTGCGCCCTTTGAGCTGTCGGGGCCTGCAGCATGATGAGCTGAAAGGGTGCAGTGGAGGAGACAGAGACAGGTTCTCTCAATAGGGACACCATACTATCCGATCCTACTGAAGCAAAGTAGATGAGTGAAACATGTTGAAGCAGCGCGGGAAAAGGGGGCGGGGCCTTGTTTGGATGACAGTGGGTCCATACAACAAGCGGTTGTGAAATATATCGCATATGGTGGCTGTTGAAGATGCTCCCGCCAGCCCTGGGCAAACATTCAAGTTCTTTAAGTCTTTGCCTTCAATGTGTTGCAAAAGCCCATCGTACACAGACCCTTCAGATTCCTCCATGTTCCTTTCTTGGATGGAGACAGGCACTGCGGAACCTCCTCCGAACGCTGTGCCGGTGGTGAATCCCACACTTCCATGTCAGCACTGCTTGACTACTTAGGTATTTTTGTGTACTGCACCATGCACCTCACTTTACGATGAACACCTCACTGTCCGACTACATTGCGCAAACATGGTATATTTATTCGCAGTTTTTCTGCATATTTGGGGGCCCATCCTGGATCCTTCACATGCTTCTCGTCCCGCCACAGCATCCAAAAAAGAAGGGCCACGAGGCGTGTACAGACGATCTTTGTGCAGAACTTCGCCGTGCATGGGGAACCCACAGGCGAACGCATCGAGCTTCACCGAATGGGGCCTTCGCAATAGATAAAAGCGTTTGGATTGCCGCATGCAGATGCAATTTCTGCAGACCTCTCTTGTATTTTTGGAGACCGCGTTTATTACGAGGGGTTTAGGAATTGTGGGAATCAACAGTTCAATTCTTTCCCGCAGGTTTTCTATCATCATCTACGATAACATTATATATAAGCGTTATGAGATTCTTGGGTTTCTTCCCCCAAGACAGCTTCAACAATAAGCGTGCTACTTGTTATGGAGAAGGGGAAGGGGTTGTGTCTTGGAGTTCGGCTTCAGGCTTCAAATATCAGGATCAGCAGTACACATGAGGTCCAGACATGTCCAGACATGTGCATGTGCAGACGCCATATATCCAAGGTCAAGGACCGACTTGATTTGGATCTAGAAAAACTCCACAACACAAGGTTATTTCCAGCACCATGACATTCCTCAGAATCATTCTGTTAGGTCCAGGCAGCAGCCTCAGCCATGGCCAATGGGAACCGGCAGATGCTCCGGTCATACTCCAAGCTGCGGGCGCCCCAAGATAACACTGATGAGGCGGGCCTCATCGAGTCTGCGAAACAAAGACTTATAAGTATATATATATAGACTATATGTATACCCCCACATGTAAATCTTCTGTGTTTGTAGCCAAGCGAAGGATGTAGATGACAGGGTGGCCCCTTAAGCAAGCATCACGTCGTAAGAAGCTGATTCCTTCGAAGCGCGTGTGGCATCCTTCGAAGCGACTTCGTCCGTTTGTGCCGAAGACGTGCGAAGACGTGAGTGTTGGGAGTCTTAAAAGTATGGTAGTGCTGCTGCTGCTGCTGCTGATGATGATGATGATGATGATGATGTTTTTTTTATGATTATGATTATGATATAATATGATTATATATGATAATGATTATGATTATGGTGATGAGAATGCGCTAATGTTCAAAGCAAGACTGTTGACTGTTGACTAGAAACATTGATACCACGCCACATACCGCGCCACATACCACAATGCAACAATGTACTGTAACACTACGAAGCCCAGCCGATAGGCTAGGCTGAAGCTAGCTTATGCGAACAAGGTGAGAAGTAGGGTGTGTGGGGGGCAGGCGCGACTATTTGTACCAAAATCCTAGTACTTGCTGGTGCTTTTTGCTTTTTGGCGCAGACAATATTTGGTGAGTTCCAAGCTGTCTCGGCATCACTGGGGGGCGTCGACCGACCGTCTGACTCGGCATGATCAAAAGCGGTGTTTTAGCTCAAGAACTCATCCACCTGAGAAAGTCACACAGCTTCCACAGGGGGGTTCATCTAATGTCCACCTCTAAACAATAACCCCCCCCCCTGATCAAGTGCAGGCCCCAAATAGTGGGAAATCCAGAAAAATCCTAGAAAATCTTGATTTGAATTGGAAATGAAAGGAAAGGAAAGGAGATTGAAGGAAAGGAAAGAAATGAAAGGGAAACAAAAGGAAATGAAAGGGAAACAAAAGGAAATGAAATGGAAATAAAAGGAAATGAAAGGGAAACAAAAGGAAATGAAAGGGAAATGAAAGGAGAATGAAAGGAAAGAAAAGGAAATGAAAGGAAAATATATGGAAAGAAAAGGAAATGAAAGGGAAACAAAAGGAAAAGGAAAGGAGAATGAAAGGAAAGAAAAGGAAATGAAAGGAACATAAATGGAAAGAAAAGGAAATGCCAGGAGAATGACCATTAGGTTGCATCAAAGATCAGCCTGAGACAGTGCATCCAGCCCTAGGATCAGGGCCAGCCAAGGATTGAGACTGTGGAATTGAGCCAGGCAGCCTGTTGTGGTGCGCGTGTGTGTTGTTGGTGTTGGTGTTGTTGGTGTTGTTGGTGTTGATGTGGGTGGTGGCTGGTGGTTCTGCTGGGGGCTTTGGGGTTTGGGTGCTCCCCATTCCTGAAGCCCCTGGCCAATCCTGGCAGGATCAGACCTGGATGAGATCTTGAAGAAAAGCAGCAGCAAAGCAGATGAGGCAGGGTTTTCTGCATGGGATTCCTGTGGGGGCATGGCATTTCACTTTCAGATATGTATCAGGCATGTCATTAGTTCAAAACTGGAGAAACCATAGGTGTCAATTGAGGTGTCAATCAAACCAATGAGATTCTAATCCATGCAGGTGGGAAAGGCAAAGGAAAAGAAGAAGGATGAAGAGAAGCTTGGAGATGAGGCCATGGGGGTGGGCAGTTCAGCTTTCATTAACCTCAGTCTTGGGGAGCCATGTGTAGATAGTGATTAGTGATTAATTAGTGATATCATTGGGGCCATTGGGGTGTTAGCCATTTATTTGAAAGCTTGAGATTGGACTCCATGCAGGTGGGAAAAGAAAAGGAAGAGGGCAGCAATGAAGAGAAGCCATCTGATGAGGCAGCATGGGATGGGATTTCATGAGGTTGCGAGCCCAAGCTAGCTTTTAAAGTAATGAGATAGGTGCATGAGCATGCTTTTTGAGCATTCCAATGAAGATTGGTTGAAGGTTTTAGCACGTTTTTGCTTTTTTTCATGGGTTGAAGATGGTCTGAGCTTCCAATGAGCATCAAAACATGTGCATTGCAGGTGGAAGAAAAGAAAGGATGAGACTTCACTTAGCTTGCATTAGGAAGGCAAATGCCTCAGCAAGATCAGCTTCCCTAAGGGAAAACAAAGCATTTAGTGCATCAGCAGTTGCGCATTTAGAGGTGCTAGATGAGGTTTTTGAATATAGGGGTTGGCATATAGGGGCTGGTACCAAGGAGTGCAGAGCATTCATGTTCATTAGTGTTGAATTTAGAAGACATCAGTTGAAGCAGCCAGGGGTTCCATCAGCAGGTGCATCATTTGTTGCATCAGAAGCAGTTTGCGCTCATCAGCAAACACATCAGCTCCCCATCTAGCTGTGCATTAGCTGCCCATCAGTACCTAGCATACCAATTGAGAACCTTTTTCTCATTGCATTTGAGTTGGGGGGTTTGAAGGTTTTGAGATAGATGCAATCAGTGAATCCCAGCCCAGGTATGATGATCTTTGGATGCATCCAGACCATGGGGTTGTTTGCATTGGCAGCAGCCATCAGCAACTTGCCTAAGATTAGATCTGTGCACTCTCCACCTTATTGTTCTTTAGATTGGGGTTGGCATTAGCATGCATTAGCAATGGAGCACATGGGCTTTTTTGAAATGGATGAAATCTAGATTTGTAATTAGTTGCCTGTCCACATTTGAGGTTTGGAGCAGGAGATCAGCATGGAGGTGATCAAGCTGGTGATCAAGTTCATCTTTGAGATGTGGAGGGAGATAGTGGCTTGGCAAATAGATGTTTGCATCAATATTGAAATGAAGCAAGAATGGTTTTATTACATAGTTGTATACATGATTGTGTCCATTATTTGCTTTCCATCTCAGGCCATGAGCGTGGTCATGGGCTACATCTTCTACAAGATGGAGAAGCATGCTGTCAACATTGAGAACAGTGTGTGGATCTGCGCCAGCAAATGCTCATTCATTGAGCAAAGCCACTTGGTTCAGTACTTGGGTTGTGGGTTGGCATGAGCACAAGGAATGAAGCATATGAGTTTGCATGAGTTGACATGGAGCTGGCATAGGTGCGCATAAACTTGCATGAGCTTGCAATCATCTAAGGGATGGATCATCAAGGAGGTTTTTTCCATGATGTTCAGAGGCATTTGATGCAGGTGATGGAGGACTATGATCATGAGAAGGGAGATGGGGCCATCCTTCACAACATGATTGAGAGCATCAAGCCAAACTTCCAGCAGGGGTCGTTCAATTTTTCTTTGAAGCTTGAGCCATTTGACATTGGGGGTGAATGGAATGAAGCAATCACAAACTAAGGAGAATCCTATGAGGCAGAGTGGGACATGAGCATTCGCACTTCATTGAAAGATCATGAGCTCCAGATCCAGTACCTTGGAGATGTTACTAAGAGCATTGGCATGAGCATGGTGTAAGCATGCAATCAGCATTGGTATGAGCTCAGGTACAATCGCTTGATCAGGAAGGTCCTTGGCATCCAGGCCACTGATGAGGACAAGGAGCAACTCAACCATATTGAAGTGATGCATCATAAGTAGGTTTAATCTATTTGATTTTGTTTTTGTTTGCTTGCTTGAGTGTGGTGCTTAGGTATGAAGAGCGTGTTCATCTGAACTGCATGAGGGAGGAGTGGTGGATGTGCCAATTCCATCCAGAAGCTCAGTTGGGCTTAGTTTTTTCATTGTTCATGTCTTTTTAATGTGTGTTTCATGTTGCTGGCATTGGTGTGTAATTAACAGTTGTTTCTTGTCACACGCTCATCTCAGGATGCTACTCCATCCACTTTGCTGGAGCTGTGCCCTCCTTGGAGCCAGGTGAAGCCCAAGTTCATAGGCATTCAGGCCAGGCTGGATCAGCTCAAGAGACTTGGGATGAATAAGGTTTGAGTCCCATGAGTTCCCAAGCCATCATGAGCTCCCAATGAGTTTACAAACAGTTAGCTAATTGAGGAAGCTGTATGAGCACTATGATCAGAAGATGGATGAGTGGGAGACATCAGCATCTCCAGCAGCACCTCTCTGGAGGATTGAGAAGGAGATCACCAAGATTGATGGCATGAAGAGACTTTGCAAAAGATCCAATAATGAAGTGAAGGAATGATTCACAACATTTTGTGTTTGATGTGTTTTACTGGAAACCTTGGTGACTAAGGAAGCGCCATCAGGAGAGCATGGGCAAGCAGGGATGGTGGTAGATTAGATGGTGATCAGGTGCCATCAGCTATCTTCCATGAGCCAAAAGATTGGCCAGGAGTTCATCGCGTATGAAAAAACAATGGTGCATGAGCAATGGGTTTCAGTCATGAGGGCATGAGTGCAATG